GTGCTCTGTCTGGAAGCACTTTGGTTTATTGAAATTCAACTAAAATAAATAAATAAGTAAAATCGGGAAACACACAATTAGTTCTGGCACAAAGAGAGAGGCAGAAACACAAACCTATATAATCATATCTACCTTTAATATAATTCCACATGTCATTGATGTTATCCGCTGATGTAAAGTAGCTGTTACAAAAGTACAATAATAAGATAAGATAATAAAATACAAATGGTGACAGCGTGAACTTCAGAAAGCTCTCTCTCTCTCTCTCTCTCCCTCAATGTCTATTATAAGTACAGATTTTGTCCTTTCTCTGTCTCAGGCGTGTCTCGTCTCACGCCTCTGCCCGTAGCCCTGTTTATCGCCGTTTTCTTTAGTTTACGGGTAAAGCAGAACATGTTTACGACAAGGGGAAACTCTTCCATGTCAGAGGATTTCTTTCATTTACGTATTTTCCATTATCAAAAAGTGAACAACAAGCAATTTCAGTAAATGTATGAATCTTTAAATGCAAAACATACTGAAAGATAAGTGAGAGATGAATCAGTATGGATTTGAAATTCTTAAAGATAACAAAAACGTAATAAGGTTAGCCAAGGCTTTGTCACTAAGGATCCAAAGCAGTTCCGAGGAGGATTCGAAATGGACAATTCGCACGAGAGCCTGATGAACATTTCTTTCATACGTGCTGTTACCATATTACTTAGTTTGAGTAGGTAATCAAGGAATGGAATTAGAATGCTCTTACAATATTTTTCCTCTTGCTAATACTAATGCTCTTTTATCTTGATGGCACTGTTTACTGCTTACACAAATCTTTGGCGGTTTTCCATATAATCTGTTTTCCATTTGTTTCTGATGTACGAAAGCTGTTAGGTGAGCCATTGTCCATACAATTGTGCTTTCCTCGTCGATATCAAAATATTCCTCTAAATGATTTGCAGACTAGTCTACAATGCAGTTGCCAGTTTAAATGAAGTTCCCTGCGAAGTGTTTCGTCTGCTGAAGGTTCCTCTGTCTTATGTCGCGCTGTTCGTTTCAGTCGCCTTTGCTACTCCCTTTCTGTTGCTGTAGGTTTCGCAATGAATTTCGCTAGTTAGGTCTGCTATTTTAAAGTAGAGACGCTTATTTTTTTATGAATATCTTTCTATTATATATATATATATATATATATATATATATATATATATATATATATATATATATATATATATATATATATGAATATACATATTTATGTATATACATAGTTATATATATATAATATATATATTTATTTGCTATATATACATATACAAATATAAAAATAAGCAATATATAAATATATATGTAAAAGTTTAACAATTTTGATTTCAGACTGAATATTTTTTGAACTTTTTAAAAATATATTCTCAGGGAAACTGTATTTTTACAAGCTTTCTTTTTTCGATTTGTCGATTTCTATTCTTGTAAACTTTTTGTTTATTTTCAGTTTACGAAAAGAATCGACAAATTATACTGACATTTTAGAAAACCAAGCTTTTGAAGAGGAGAAAACTAGAACTTTTAAAGTCTGACGATCGAAAGTCATTAGAAAAGTTTTCGTCAAAGCAAATAAAGTTCCTGAGCTCCTGTGCCTGTGATTGGAGGCTGTGATGGTCTCCACAATATACAGTGAAGTGCAATATAGCAATTTGTATGTGAGAGAAATGGGTCCTTGATTTTTATCCAGTTTCGTGTTCCTTTTTAACTGTATTGTTTGCCCTTCTCTGTTTTGTGTTTTTATGTTCTGTGTTATATGGTGTTTGTTATAAATATGTTTTTTGTGCTTTCTTTAGATGTCTATTATTCGACAATGAATAAAGTTAATTGGTATTTCTATAAGTTCCAGATTTTGTAAAGAGGAAATAAATACTATTAATATGTAAGCAGGCTGAAAATATGAATCACATTTTATTGTATTTAGTTCCTCAATTTCTCATTAAGGGAGAGAAATAACCAAATATACCTTGCCATATAGATGACATATTTTTACACATGTTTCCTTGAATCTAATAAAATGCTTACCCTCACTTCATTTTATATGTACCATTATGCTACCTACCTATCTACCTACCTACATTCATACATACATACATTCATACATACATACCATAGGCAGCGGAGCGAGTCTATGATTGGGGGTGCGAATGTGAAAATGCATAGTTTGATGATTTTTAGACAAAAAGCGCCTTTCACACAACATGCACATGACACAGTTCTCACATAATTATATACTTAGCACATCAGTGTATTCACTTCTGCGTTAAATAAATAATACCCAGATGCAATATATCCATATGGCTTCCACAATTTATGTGTGTGTTAAATGTTTTGTTGTGGTGGGGTGGGGATGGTGCTATTTGCTTAAAAAATAGATTACATTTCCATTCAAACTCTGCTAGTTAGGCGTTCATGAGCCCAGGAAAGTCTGTCCTTTACTATACTATACTCCACTGTACCTATACAATACTTTTAATAAATATGTCAACTGTAAGAGTGATACCCATTCTGGTAAAATGAGATATAGTATAATTATAGTTTATTTTTATTAGTCTGTGTGAACGTGTAAAACCAAATGTAAAGCACAGTTTTTTCAGTAATTTCTGGGGGGCAGAGATATACTCTCGCCCCTCCAGTTTTCATTCTGATGGGGCGCCTACCCCTCTTCCCCCCCGCTTCCATACATAAAAATTAATATAATGGATCGATGTTATAAGAAAAGTAGCCATTTTTCTTTTTGGATTAACACAATCACTTTCAAAATTATAAAGGAGTTTCTTACTGAGAACATCACTTTCTATTATCAACATCCCCATGAGTTATATAATGAATTGCACTGATTATGTTAATAAATCTCAGATTTCAATTGGCTTTTCTGAATTAGTGTTTATATCTCTTCCCAGTCTCTTTAATATTGTCTTTTTTTCTGAAGCAGTACGGCTGCTTTTTTTTTAAGTAACTATTAGCTGAGGATTAAGGCCTTCATTCAGTGGTTGGAGATAACTTATACACATTGCCCTTACATCTGGAGAAAATAATTCTTAATATCCATTGTAGTGTGGCTCTGGAAAAACATCACAAAAAAGCTGCACATTTTTGCAGGCCAAAGTAGACTGAAACAAACCATGTAATTTATCCACTCATCAGTGTATTGGTAGCGGTGCCATGCCCATAACCAATATGTAACCAGACTGAAACTAACTGTGCAAAATACTGTTGCACTTTGTGTTTTCTTCTTTTTTAGGTGTATTCTTTCAATGTTGGTTCGTGTCTTTACAATACAAATGACTAGAACCATTCTTAAACAGAACCAATTCCTTGCATACAGAGATTGCAAACATGAGATTTATTCCTGAAATCAAAAAGATCAAACTTTGCCTTTTTTCCATAATAATAGTGACATCTTGAGCCTGTTAGGAGCCTCTAAGACTAAACTACTTGATGGGCAGGCTAGCCAGAGGTTTGGATAAGGAAAGGAAAAAAAACTGTTTGCTTTTAATTATATTAATGTCTGAGGACATGTTCAGCATTCAACCATACAAGAAAACTTCTTTTTTCACATACATTACATAAACTCATGACCAGGTAAAATTTGCGCATTAAAATGCTCGACCAAAGGCATAATGTGTTCTAAGTGTGTTTACCATACCCTGAGTGGTGTAGGGCAGCAGCACCCAAGTTGCCCTAGGGTAAAAAAAAGCCTAGAAGGCAATAAAGAGCCTTTGAGAGAATAATTCCTACACCCACTTTACATCTCAATTTCAGCATAGGAAAACTGCCTAGGAATAGTAGGTCAAAATACCTTCAAAGTGAAGTTATTGAGTCAGAGGCACTGTGCTGTGCAACACTGTTAAACAACAGCATTTCTATCTGTTATGATGAGTGTATAAACGCATGCGAGTGTGGGGGGGGGGGGGGGGGGGGGGGGGGGGGGGGGGGGGGGGGGGGGGGGGGGGGGGGGGGGGGGGGGGGGGGGGGGGGGGGGGGGGGGGGGGGGGGGGGGGGGGGGGGGGGGGGGGGGGGGGGGGGGGGGGGGGGGGGGGGGGGGGGGGGGGGGGGGGGGGGGGGGGGGGGGGGGGGGGGGGGGGGGGGGGGGGGGGGGGGGGGGGGGGGGGGGGGGGGGGGGGGGGGGGGGGGGGGGGGGGGGGGGGGGGGGGGGGGGGGGGGGGGGGGGTTTTTTTGGGTCTGAATTTTTCAAATACAAAAAGGTATGACCCCAATCTTGTTTTTTCTTCTTTTTTAGGTGTATTCTTTCAATGTTGGTTCGTGTCTTTACAATACAAATGACTAGAACCATTCTTAAACAGAACCAATTCCTTGCATACAGAGATTGCAAACATGAGATTTATTCCTGAAATCAAAAAGATCAAACTTTGCCTTTTTTCCATAATAATAGTGACATCTTGAGCCTGTTAGGAGCCTCTAAGACTAAACTACTTGATGGGCAGGCTAGCCAGAGGTTTGGATAAGGAAAGGAAAAAAAAAAAAAAATCACAGAAGTTGAAAAATCTAAAAAGAGGGATTTCACAAGTATACAAGTGGGTTGCATGAAAATACAAGTGAAACGAGAACAAATGCAGGAGGAAGAATGTAGGTCTTGCACTTAATACTGAAGGTAAAAAGCACACGCAACTGTTAATCCTGTACATACCAAACCAACATTCACAAAATTTGAGGTTTTGGGTCTGAATTTTTCAAATACAAAAAGGTATGACCCCAATCTTGTTTTTTCTTCTTTTTTAGGTGTATTCTTTCAATGTTGGTTCGTGTCTTTACAATACAAATGACTAGAACCATTCTTAAACAGAACCAATTCCTTGCATACAGAGATTGCAAACATGAGATTTATTCCTGAAATCAAAAAGATCAAACTTTGCCTTTTTTCCATAATAATAGTGACATCTTGAGCCTGTTAGGAGCCTCTAAGACTAAACTACTTGATGGGCAGGCTAGCCAGAGGTTTGGATAAGGAAAGGAAAAAAAACTGTTTGCTTTTAATTATATTAATGTCTGAGGACATGTTCAGCATTCAACCATACAAGAAAACTTCTTTTTTCACATACATTACATAAACTCATGACCAGGTAAAATTTGCGCATTAAAATGCTCGACCAAAGGCATAATGTGTTCTAAGTGTGTTTACCATACCCTGAGTGGTGTAGGGCAGCAGCACCCAAGTTGCCCTAGGGTAAAAAAAAGCCTAGAAGGCAATAAAGAGCCTTTGAGAGAATAATTCCTACACCCACTTTACATCTCAATTTCAGCATAGGAAAACTGCCTAGGAATAGTAGGTCAAAATACCTTCAAAGTGAAGTTATTGAGTCAGAGGCACTGTGCTGTGCAACACTGTTAAAACAACAGCATTTCTATCTGATGATGAGTGTATACCATCAGTGTGGGGATTGTCAGTTGCTTGAGGCAGGCTCTTACAACAAGAGAAAGGCACATGTGGGTCCCAGGACTGTGGGGGGAGTGGCTAGCCCTTGTAATGCTTGGGGTGCTAAGAGACAGTGTCAATACTCACATCCAGTAGTAATGTGCACTTTTTCCAAACAGAATACTTTAGAGAGGCACTGTGGTGAAATACCCTGTACTATTATGTTACTACAATGCCATAACATATCGCATTCAGTTTAGCAGCAAAGTGCCAGCAATGGGTCACAATCTGCCAGAACTGGAGAACATAAAGTAACAGCAACAATTTAATAACACACCACATCTTGTGCTTAACTGGACTGTTTTCTTGAAGTTGAGAGTAGCATCCCTGGCAAACAAGAGTGAAACTTTGGCAGTGTACATGTTAACACCATTTTATGTCACCAATTTCCACTGCTCCATAACACCCTCACCAAATGAACTGCTGGGTTAAGGACATCCATACAAATTTTCGGTTCATTCCCAATATCAGCATGGTGACACAAAAATCTGCAACATGTTTCACAAAGGCTTGAGTGGTGAGGGTCAGAGTGTCTGATGTGTAACTACTGATCTTTTTTAATAGTAAATAGAAAATATCCTGTACAGTAGAAACACTACTAGGGTTAGGATCTGTCTTTTAAAAAGATTGTATTATCTACAGTATTCACACTCCAGTGCACATGATTATGTACAGGCATTTTGGTAACCAACTAATGCATGCACATACACACAAGGTGTTTCAACAACACACTATGACAGTGTGTATATATGAACACACAATTATCGAGGAATTTGAAAGTACCTCATTTCGCTGTTGCTGTGGAACTGGCGAATAAATAGGTCTTGAGCAATGATCATTTTGATGTTTACATTGATTCAAAAGATAGTCTGGACATGCCCGATTTCATACAGGGAATGAGCAGTGCTCTTTATTATTTTAATGTCATTGATATAGCTCACATTATTCATAAATACTTTTAGCAATTTATTTTACTATCTACATTTTTTTTTTGTTTTTTTTCTTTTTTCTTACTGTGGTAGCTTTGGGCCCCAGAGAGATTCATCCTCTCGAGGCAGAACACGGATTTCAGTAATGGTATAAATTCTTTTCCAGACTCCTATTGTAGGATAAATTGTTTTCAAGCTCCTATTATAGGATATATACACAGTATGCTTGCTCTATTTCCTCACTTTTACAACCAGCATGCCTCGTTCTGTCTTTATCTTTATGCCACTTCCATCACAGGAAACAGTAGAAATACATCTGCTGTCATGTCATGGCTCAGCTATAACTTATGCTTTATCTTCAGTCACAGAAAATGTACATCTGATACACAGTTGTCACACTTTGTCACCATAATCAAGTGACATTAAATCCCTCATCTCTGCTGGTACTCGGCAAGAGGTTTAACAAGGCCTTCTGAGTACACTCGCTGAATGGCTTCGCATACGAATCTGTATTGACTCTGCAAAAGGGGAAGAAAATACACATTAATTCCCATGTTTTATAACTCAGAAAAATAAAAACATTTTATTTGTCAATGAAAAAAAGAAAAAAAAAATATACAACTAAGATGATCACAACACAAAAAATTATAAATCCTCTTCAACTAATAATAATAATTCCTCTTTATAATAATTCTAATAATTCCTCTTTAACTAATAATATATTCGCAGTAAAACAGACATCATTCATTCACAGAAAAAAAGTCACCAATACTCACAGCTGTCTGGATCATCATTGCACGCTGATCCCTCATAGTTCTAACTACATCTAGTGGATAAACTGGCTCATTGGCCTCAATCAAGCACTGTGCAGTCTCCATCAAGATGAGCACGCCGGTCCTCCCAATGCCCGCTGAGCAGTGTACTATCGTGGGTTCAACCATACCTGCAATGGGAAGTTAAATTTAGTTTTATTCAATCAATGCTATTTTATTGTACATATGTACACAGGTACAGTAAAACAATGGCCCTGGGATCTTGGAGAAAGAAGATGGATTGCATAGTACAGTGAAAAAGCAAACACTATAATATATGTCTAAATTCCATGAATGAGTTTACAAAATCCACACTTTTTTATTTAACAATACATCATTGATTAATATCTTCTTAAGAAACCTATATTACATTCCTTCCTCCTATTCAGAAGCCAGCCTTATGAAAGGATTTCCTTTCTAAAGGGAATTCCTGATGCATTATCAGTGCTCGAGAAAATAAAAGAAAATACGCAGATCACCTAACTATAGCTAGCCAGTCTCAAAATTCCAAGCTTAAAAATTTCTATCAATAACACATTAGTAGATGATAAAACTCCTTTCTGAATTTTAATAAAGGTTAATAATATCAAATTATCAGCTAGATATACTAGTGGTTCTTCAAATTCTGTGCCCAGGATTTTTTTTTTTTTTCACTTGATAATACTGGACAGTTATCAATAAACAATTCAAGAGTAAAAAAGTTAAGAAACAAGTTATATGATACAAAAATTACAGGAGTAGGTTAATGTAAAAACTCATGGAATTCTTTCTCATTAATAGTTAACGAGTTCTGATGTGTTTGCATATCCTTATTTCATTATAGGTTAAGAGACACCAAGGATGTAAATGGGGTGCTAAGTATCAATTATTCAATGCATTACAGTGAGTTCAGTCAACCTAAATGTCTTTACCAACTTAAAAGTAAAACAAAAAAATATATATATCTATATGTATCTTATATCTATATTCAATAATTTAGTACAACAAACATTCTTCAATAACCAAAGTATTTGAAAATTAAAAAGATTATTTAAATATCTACAGACCAAAAAAGATACAACATAAAGAACAAGTGACACTGCATATCACTTATCAATCACTTATCACTTATCAAAGTATTTACAACTACAACTTAGGAATTTAGAACCATTGTAAAAACTTTTATCTAAATTCCAAAATGCTCCCAAGGTTTTTTTATCTCTCACCTGCTCTAGCTTGGCGAACCTGGGTTACAAAGTGGAGGAATTCTGTTGAGTCGTCAGGGACACCGTGGTCCGGCCATGCCAGGTACTGCATGTGGGTGATGTGTCGCTCATCCTGAGTCTGCAATAGCAATGTGGATTAGTATTCACTAGAAGCACTCTAAAGTACTAATATTGCATAAATGAAAGTCACTCAAACATAAAGCTTTATTAAATTGGGAGACACACATATCTGACATCCTTAATAGAATTTTTGTTAAAAAGTAAAATCTTACTTGAACAGCATCTGAGCACCACAGGTTACATATGACTTTAAAGCATAAACATCAGTGAAAAAAAACAGAAAAACGTAAAAAAGAATCAGGAAAAATAAAGCTAGAGTTTTAACACACCTCTGTGTTGATGAGAGTGAATTCTCTAAACGCAAAACCTGGCGTCTCCTCCTCCTTCAGACAAGTGACCTGGAGAGTCCCGAACTCGACAGTCTCATTCAAGCGAGGCCAGTACCGGTGACATTTTACTCTGGAAGAGATGGGGTATTTAATCACCTATGACCAACTGACTCACTATCTGACCATCCTCCCCTTCTCCTATTTACTGATAGGCAGTTCCTACAAAGCTATTCAAAATGAATTCCCTGTCAATAATTGAATAAATCAGATACACCTCTATTTCAATCCAATCAGTTTTAGGCAAAAGACAAATTTTCTCAAGTGTTACATCAAGAACATTCTCAGAAAATGAATAGTATATCATAAATATATACAACACATATCAATACACAAACAATCCTCTCCTCTCACCTGCCCTGTTCGACAACTGTGGTTAGCATCACTATTAGGGTTGATTGCTGTTCCCACACCATTTCCCAGAAGTCGGTACAGGTGCCTGCTAGAGGACCCTGGCAGGCTATGTAGCGGTTGATGATCCCTGACGCCTGGATATCCATGTTCACGTATGAGGCGTTGATGTAGTCCCCGGATACTGCACTTGTGAGGATGACTCGCGTTGTGTCATCTACAAGGAGAGGTCAGGTTTAAATTCTCAATTCACAAATAAGACTTATAAATAATATCATGTCATATCATAATACAAAGTGTCAACATCACAAATCGTATCAGATCCTAAAAAGATTTGTTATAGAGTAAAGACACAAGACAACACTTCCAATCCAGGAGGGAAAATGAAGCATCCGAAGGGCCGGCGTCCAACCCTCCAGGAAGGCCTACTTACACGGCGAAATATCCCGATATCTGTTCTTCTTCTCGTTCTCCTGCCGCCGCGCCTCGTTGACCGTGAGTCCCGGCTTGCGGCGGTACAGCTGCTCGAACTGCGCCACCAGTGACCCGGCCTCCAGGCCCTCGGCTAGCAGCAGCATGGACTCGTGCAGGGGGGCGGTCTGGTTGCCAGACACGGTAACGCTCGCAGGAAGGCCTTCGGGGACATACCGGAACGGGGGCTCCTCGTCGAGCTCCTCCGCGAGGTACACTGTTCGTGAAAGAGAGGAAGAGGTTGAGATCGCTGGCCTTGGACAGAGGGAGCGACGCACCGAAGCGTAGGGAACGTAACACAGCCACATGGCTAGGGAATCACTGTAATTCATACCGTTGTCTATACATATCGACTACACAATTACGGATTGTCATGATAAATAATAACACTGATTTACTGAAATGAAAAGAAGTCGACATTTCTTAAAGTCAGAATTTAGTCTTCCATACGTTTATCTACTGTATATATCTACGGGAGAACCAAATTTCTTTAAAGGATTCCCGTTTTCAGTCGGTCAGCACGAAAATGACAGTGAAATCCAGTAAACCCAAATTTGAGGAAAATCAGAATTATAAGAATTATTGTCAGACTTACAACATGATTCTTATCGCAAGTTGGGCAATTCTTCTGTGGTTCCCTAATCTTATATAGGCATTTCCTCATTGTGCAAACATGGTGTTGCATTTCCATTACGTTACGATAAGCTTATTCTAAAAATATATATCCTTTATACACAAAAACATGGGACACACAACCAATAATGGAGTTTCACTTATAATTCATTTGCATTTACAATATATATATATATATATATATATATATATATATATATATATATATATATATATATATATATATATATATATATATTACTAATTTCAGGATATTTATATATATATATTTATCCTAAAATTTGCAAAATAGCCTAATAACCAAATACCAAAAATTTTATCTATCAAAAACACGCAACCACCCACACCCGTCCAACAAACACACTCGCATATCCAACCAAATCAGCACCTCCCACGCCCACAATACACCATCTTGCACGCACGCACGCACCCACACACCCACATCCTCCCATCCACCCACCTGCACACCCATTCCAGACCCCTACTACGCACACCCACAAACACCCCTTCCCTCCCCCCTCTCCCCACACACAGACCCCTGCCACCCACCAATTTTCGAAATATATTTCACTGAACCTCTCGGCTCATACACCGCCTGCCTCTTCCACGCCTCGTGCACGCTGTAGGGGGTGTGGGTCCTCCTCGACCACGCGGCCGGCTGCACGCTCACCATCCTCGCACTGTTAGAGTCGCAGCCACACTGATACCCGTGAAGATAGGCGGTGTAACATGCCGCCCTTTCAGACGCTTATCTTCACCTAAAGATACCGTCGTAGATAACGAATTCACTGCAATAATTATCACTAACCCCGCTCCCACCTACCCTCCCCTCCCCGGCCCATACCCCTGCCCCCAACCCCAAATAAAATGTCGGTAATCTTCATGAGCGCCTGACATGTAGGAATTACGTCAGCATACTCTCACGTAGCCATGAAAATCTCTCGTCTCTGTTATTTCTCTCATCCGTATTTTTTCAGCACTCAGGAATCCAAATGATTGGCTAACTGCATAGTTATACCGATGGCAATTCACAAAAAAAAATACAAGGAATTCCCTCATATCAGTAAATTCCCTTTAAAAAAACGGGCATTTTCCTGACATTCACCTCGGGAGCACAAAAATATCGGAAGCCATATAAATGCCCAAGCTATCGACCAGACGCATTTCCTCTGGCCGCGGGGTGAGACTTCACGATAACCAGTAATACACCTTCTACAACGCTCAACTCTACTACGATCGTGATAACCGACGCCGATCTGCCCCCAAGACCTCGTCCATTTACGACCCTTACTCAGCGAGATAATACTTGACCTCGCTCTCAACACTGCGCGGGCGATAACACCAGCCGCTAGGCACGTATGCGCTAAAAGCCGCGCAGGGGAGACACGCACACCCACACGCGCGCACGTACGACGGCGAGCGTGCCCTTATGCACACTTTTCTCCCTCTCAAAATACACCTGAGAAAAACCCGCGCCCGGCGCCGGCGAAAAACGAGAATCCACCTTACTGGCTCAGGCGGAAAAAGGCCGACGGAGAATGGCAACCGCAACGCGACCGGGAGCTAGAGCGGTAACGCGGTTAGACTAATGGGATTTTTTTCTCTCTCTTTCGAAGCCTATCCATCCCGGCTCCCGAGAACATCCACTCCCTCAATTCCTCCAACACCCCCACCCCCCACCTTGTAAACGCTAGGAGTCCTTTCGGGGAGGCCTTCGCTCTGTGCTTGTGAACAAGACGGGTTTTATCGGATTTTTCTATTCCTCTTCGAAGGAGAGAGATCGGCGGGAGGGAAACCTGCCAATGGAGGATGCTGCGGTTGGCATTTATTACGTAACTTACATCACTGAAAGGCTACCATTTTCAGGCTGAGAGAAAGGGAAAGGGAAAGGGAAAGGGAAAGGGAAAGGGAAAGAAAAGGGGAAAGAGAAAAGGAAAGAGACAGAGAAAAACAAAGACAAAGAGAGAGAGAGGGGAGAGAGAGAGAGAGGGAGAGGGAGAGGGAGAGGGGGAGGGAGGGAGGGAGGGAGGGAGGGAGGGAGGGAGGGAGGGAGGGAGAGAGAGAGAGAGAGAGAGAGAGAGAGAGAGAGAGAGAGAGAGAGAGAGAGAGAGAGAGAGAGAGAGAGAGAGACAGAGAGAGAGAGATAAAGACTTTGGTGCATAAAAAAGAAAAGAAAAAGAGAAGAAAGAGACGGGAGAGAGAAAAGAGCAAAATAGAGAGAGAAAAAGAGAAGAAAGAGACGGGAGAGAGAAAAGAACAAAAGAGAGAGAGAAAAAGAGAAGAAAGAGACGGGAGAGAGAAAAGAACAAAAGAGAGAGAGAAAAAGAGAAGAAAGAGACGGGAGAGAGAAAAGAGCAAGAGAGAGAAAAAGAGAAGAAAGAGACGGAAGAGAAAAAAGAACGAAAGAGAGAGAGAAATAGAGAGTAACGTGACTCACATGCAGGTGTTCCCAAATCTCGGTTATTTCTACTTTTTTCAGCCGACTGATAAGGGGCTCGACTCTGGAGATATGATTTACGATGAAAAATACTTCTACGATTCGCTTTACTTAACCACTTTCATCACGTACCATACTGCCCACCCACACACACACATATCCACATATTTAAACACACACACACACATACAAACACAAACACATACAGACACAGACACACACACACACACACACACACACACACACACACACACAAACAAACACAAACACAAACACAAACAAACACAAACACACACGAACACAAAAACACACACACACATCCTTATCCCCCCCCCTCCCCTTTCCCCCTCCCCTCTTATACCCTCGAGTGCCATCCCCAAACCCTTACCGTTCTGCTTGACTGTGAGGACGAGCTCTCCCGAGTGGCACTCTCTGGAGGCGCGGATGAAGTTGACCACCTGCTCGTGGGTCATGGCCGAGACGTCGCGCCCGTTGATCAGCAGCACCTGCGTCGCAAGGGGGGGAGGGGGAGAAAAAGAAAAAAGGGTTAGTTCGGTGGGTCTGTTCCGATGAGGGTGGGCGTGAGAGGGGAACGTGGGCGTGAGAAGGGGAGACAGGTGGGTGAGGTAAGTGGGTTGGGTTTATATGGAGAAAAAAAAAATAGTGGGTGGGTGGGGTGGTTTGGCTCCATTGAGAGTGGGTGAGGGTGGGCATGGGAAGGGGAGGTAGGAGGGGGTGGGAGTTTATTCGCAAAGGGTGGATGTTTCCGTGAGGTGGGTGGGTGGGGGGGGGGGGTAAATTTGTTCAAGGTGGGTAGATGGGCGGCTCGGGGTGGGTTTGTTTCAAGGTGACACTGGCTTTTCCCAAGATAGGTATGCTGGTGGGTGTGGGTTTGTTCAAAGTGCGTAGGTGGGTAGAAGAGGGGGGGGGGGGAGGAGGAGGAGGAGGAGGAATACGTGTGACGATGACGATAGTCATCTTAACAGTAATAACAATAACATTAATACATGCAATACAAAAAAATAGTAATAATAACATCGGCAATAACAACAGTAATAGTCTTAAAAATAATAGAAATGATAATCACAACAATAATATCAAAAACAATATCAATAATAACCATGCTAGCACATAATGCACCTATCACCCTTGCTAGCGCCAAGCATGCATCTCCCCCCCCCCCGGCCAAGTTCAACGATAAGGGGGCGGGGGGGGGTGTTTAAAAGACTAAAGCCCTCTTTTCCGAAGGTTACGGCTTACGCGCCACCTCTTACGAGACTTGAATTGAGTAGGCAGTAAACACTTATGGGAGTTTCCAGATGCCTTTCTCCTACCTCGGTTACTTCCATGCATATTCGTACTTAAATCGAGTTATCTATAACCCAGCACAACCCATCATAAGATGCCATCTACGATATCATATTCCAAAGCGCTGTGTACCAGTCGCAAAAATACCCATTGCAGTAAAATAGTTATCCAGCAATCGCGACCATTCCTATTATGTCACAAGGTTGGGCGGAGCTTTGGACAGGAGACGATGCCCTAATCGTCAATGGAAAAAGTGGCATAGATAACACTTCCTTATCAACAAGGCTACTGCATATCATCATTTTTTTGAGCTGCATTATATATCCTCTCAATAAAAAAAGGAAGAAAAAAAACAGAAAATCACTGTACTGCATCATACATCCTCTCCATAAAGAATGTAAAAAAAGGAATCTATGCATCATGCATCTTTTCTAAGAATAAAAAAAGGGGGAAACTGTTGCGCTGCGCCCCCCCCCCCCCCAAAAAAAAAAAAAAAAAAAAAAAACGCAGCATTGCATAAATCATCATCTCAAAAAAAAAAGGAAAAGGAAAAACAAATCACTACACTGCACTGCATACCCTCTGCACCTCAAAAATGAAAGAAAAAAAAGAAAAAAAAAAAAAAAAAAAAAAAAAAAAAACAGCCTATCACATGCATACACGTGGCATCAGGAACTAGTACGAACCGACGCCACTACGGGATTGCGCCTACGGGATTCTTGGGCTTCCCCCCCCTATCGCCCCTCTACGGATGTGAGCTTCCTTTTCACATTCCTTGACGCACGTGCTCTCATGCCCTGGCGGTCTCTCTGTCTCGTTATCTCCCTATCGCTATCTCTGTCTCTCTCTCTCCTTCTATCTATGTATTTTATCTATGTTTTTTTTTTATCTATCTATGTATCTCTATCTATGTATTTATCAATGCATATATCTATTTATGTATCTATTTTATC